GGGGGGGGGGGGGGGGGGGGGGGAGAGAGAGGAACATTGATGTGAGAGAAAAACACTGATCGCTTGCCTTCCGTATGCACCCTGATCAGAGATTGAACCTGCAACCTGGGTATGTGCCCTGACTAGGAATCAAATCCCTGACCTTTCCGGTGTATGGGACAACACTCCAACCAACTGAGCCCCACCGGCCAGGGCTCAATGTTATTGTGTTTAGTAGTGGTATATAAGGTTTTAGAAAGACAGGATCAGACTGTAGAAGGCCACAAATAATGTAACAAGGACTATGGATTTCAATCATTTCACAGGAATGGAAAATATAAGAATCAAATATTCAAGAGAAGAAAAAAATAAAATCAAACAATCAAAATAACAACAAAAACAATTAACCTTTCCAAAGACACATAACCAACAACAAAGGACAATAAAGCCTTTAGGTAATGAATCTCCGTGATAGACTGTCGAATTCATATCTCATACACCTTTGCAGACACATATCTTCCTTTCTGCCAATTTGAACTACAGTGCAATATAAACCCCTGCTTCTCTGTGAGCTTCTCCCAGACCACATCAGTCCAGCAAACACACTACATAGTCTCCTAATGGTCCTGATGGTGTTTATCTTATATACCACAAGTTGGAAAATTTCTCCTTAAAGTGCCAGAGAGTAAATATTTTAAGCTTTCTGGGCTATACCATCTCTATTACATATTCCTCTTTCTTGTTTTTTGTTTTGTTTAACAATTTTTTAAAATACAAAAACCATTCTTAGCTCGTAAACTATACAAAACCAGGCAGTGGCCTGAATTTGTCCCATAGGCCACTGTTTGCAGACCCCTAATCTCTATGTTTTCTTTGACAGGGTTTTGCTTTAAAACCATCTGTCTTGTCCATATTAATTATTCAAAACTGAGTGATTATCGAGTGAATTTCTATCATAACTGAGACGCGTGGAAGCCTGGAGAGGTGGAATGGGTCAAACGTAACAGTACCACAGCTGTGGCAGAGGTAAGCTTAGCAAGCTTTAACATGACTTGACACAGTCTTAATTCACATTCATTATGATCAGTTGTATTAAAAGGCTGCCATAGCATTTATGTAATGGTCATCCAAGGTTTATAATTCTGTGCCAAAATTGGTTATCTCAAAAAATGTACCCAACCAAAGTAATTTCAATAGTAATATCATCTATCTCAGAATTGTTAGAATTAAATTAGATAATCCATGTAAAAAGAATTTAGCAGTGTTCGGCAAATAATAAGTACCCTATAAAAGCTCTTATTATGCAATAAAAATACAGGAATATCAAAAGAATATTAAGGTTAATTTCTTAATTATGTTTATTTCTGAAACTGTTTTAAACTTTACCTTAAAAATGTTTCTGAGTAGCTAATACTATTTTGGTAACCTAATATTGTCCTCCAAGGCCTCCTATCACTGTATTGACTAAGTATTCTTTGCTAAGTATCCTAGTTAAGTTTATATATTCAATATTCCTGTTAGATGTGAATCTTCATAATATAAATCATCCATTCCCAAATTCTGCACTGCAGACCAGTGGAGCACACTGTAAAGTCCATGCTAAAATGATAAACATAAGGACAAAGCTGTCTTTTACTCCAAGATGGTCTTTCCTTTATTTCTAAGTGTTAAAGTGTCTTGTCTTTTATGAAGTAATGGTGATTACAATGGTAGCAAAAACAAAAGCTGAAGATGCCTGTTGGTCCTTTATTTTGTAAAAATTTCTTTTACAGTCCTCGTAATGGCCAGGTCAAGGAACATTATCAGAGACAATGTAAGAATCAGCAATTTTTTAAATAATGAGAATATGAGACTTATAAAAATAAAGATGGCTGTATGCTAATATGATTCAGAAAGGTTATTAGGATCTGATACATGAAATTAAGACGCCATCTTGTCAGATGCAACCAAGTGATGCTTTCATGTTTATACTAATATAGAGAAAATGAAAAACAAATTGTCTTCTCCCCCCAAAATAAATAAAGATCAACCTGAAGTGGACAATGGTTTTGCTTCCAAAACAAGAGGCACAGGAGAAAAACAAATTTCTCTATCTCCTTTCCTTTTACTAATTTTCCGCACGAGCACTGGCTTTCAGCTAAGATGATGTTTATACATAACCAACTTTTCTTTCTTTCCTTTTTTAGTTACATTCCTGTAAGACTGTGCTTTGAAGTGGTTTCTACTAGCTCTAATTTGGAATTTCTGATTTAATTTAAAAGATTCTTACTGAACAAAATGGACTTAGTTTTAAAATAAAACTACATTTTATTATAGTTTTAAAATTTTACTTTTACAAGTATATAATCAAATAAAACATTATTCACCCTTTAAGGTACAAACCATGGCACTACTTTTGCTTCTCTTACTGGTACACTTACTCTTTGGAATCTTTAAGTCAACAACTATTTACTAAACACCTAAAATAGGCCAGCCTTTCCCCTAGGTATTGAGGATATAGTAGCAAACAAAACAAAACTCCCTATCCTCCTGAAATTTTCTATAGAAGAATACACACACACACACACACACACACACAGAGATTTTTCTCTCTGTATATCCATCCACCCAACAGTCAATAGGTGCTTTGGGGAAAAACAAAGCAAAGTAGACGCACAGCCAACACTGGAGCAGAGAGCAGATGTAGGGGGTAATTTTAAATAATGTGATCAGAGAACTCATTGAGAGGCTGACTTTTAAGCAAACATTTGAGGGGGGTCAAGGAGCAAGTCACGTGGTTGACCTGTGAGACCACCTCAGCTGAGTAAACAGCAGTGCAAAGACCCTACTATGTTCAAGGAGAAGCAAGAAAGCAGGTTTGAATAAAGTAGAGAAAGGGGAGACAATATAGGATATCAGGTGTTTATACTCTGAGCTGTGAGCAGAGGAAGGATAAGGCCTGATTTAATGTTTAAAAGAATTCATTCTTACTGATATACTGAGAACAGACTGGGGTGGGACAAAGCAGGAGGAGATGTTAGGCAGCTATTGAAATAATCCAAGTGAGAGACACGGTAGCTTTCCCTAGTGTTATAGCTGCGGAGGGCGGATTCTGGATCTATACTGAAGGGACAGCGGACAGGATGTGCTGAGAAAAATGAATGTGGTGTATAAAAGTGGAGTCAGAAAAGACTCAGAAATTTTGGGCCCCAGTAACTGAAGGGATATAGTTGCCATTTACTGAGATGCAAGAAACTGCAAGGAAGAGACTTATGTTAAGTTTTGGACAAGTTCCTTTTAAGATGTCTATTAGCCATTCATTCAAGAGGAGATGGCAAATAGGCTTCCACACATATGAATGGGGAGTTCAAAGCAAAGATATGGACTTAAGATATGAATTGAGAGTAATCAACCTAAACACATAAAGTGAGGAGATTAAAGAATACCAGGAAGGACTAGGTGAAGTGTGGATAAAGAGATACGAAACCTGATCCCTAAGGCAGAGGTAGGGACTACAGAGAGACAGGAGGAAAGCTTTTGTTCCAGCCTTCACAGGTGTTCTCATTCCTATCACAAACTCCCCGAGCGCAGGA